TATGTTTATATATAGATGACAAGTCGACAAACATTAAGAATATGCGCCTTGAGGCATCGAGCTTGAAGTTAACTATGGCCCGAAAGGCACTTTCTCTTCCTCTTTAGCTTCAACTTTCTCCTCTTCTTCTACTTGTGCTGGCAGCATAATGAAACCGAATACACGCAAATGGAAATTTATACCATGGCCAAAACAAAAGCAAAATGGCTTAAACACGGCCAGCAATGGGACCTCAAGTATAAAGGCATAATGAACACACACACACACACACACTGGATGGCTGGCTGGCTGGCTGGCTGGCTGGCACACACACACACACACGCGAATTGCGTTAACAAAATTTATTTAGCAAGCAACACACACACACACACAAAGAACAGCAGTAGAAGCAGAAGTAGGAGCAGCTCTTTTTCTACTCCGCTTTTACTGCCTTTTGCTACTCCGCTTTTATTACTAAAAATCTGCTCAAGTCCCTAGTTAATGCGTGCGTGTGTCTGTGGTGGTGTTATGCGTGAGTGCGTGGTTTAATGAATAAATGTTCAAGCATATATTGGCTGTGGGGTACACACAGTGCGTATGCGTGATATCCATTACACGCACACAAACAGAGCAAGAGTGAAAGAGAGGGAGAGAGTGACTGGGATATGCTTTCGCGCTGATAATCACACGAGCATGTCGCGCTTTTGGACCATTTAGCTTGTTTATCGCACGCTTTGCAGCCAGCTCGAAGCGTTCACTCATCTATTGCATACTTTTTGGGGAGGGAGGCGGAGCTGCCAAAAGTCAAACGCGTAAATTACGCATACGCAGCGTGGGCCAGCGAGTGGCATAAATCACATTTGGCACATGCAGCAAAAATTCATACAAAATCACAATAAATTCTGGCCAATCTTGGATAAGTGAAATGCTTAAAAGGTTAAGCGATTTGCCAAGTGGCCCAATATAGTTCTGGGGCTTAGCTTCAATCGAGAGCAGCTCAGAGGGATTTCCAAGGATGTTTGCGACAACTAACAATGGGGCAGAAGAAGGAGCAGAATAATACGCTATCTGCTTGCAGCTCAGCTAATTAGGTTAAAAACCAAGCTGCTTGCAATAAAATATCCACAAATTTGCAACGCAAACTTTTCAAGACTTTTGAGCAGCAACAACAACCACAACAGCAGCAGCARCAACAACAAGAAATGATGGCCGATAGCTAAATCAAACTGAAGAGTTGAAGTGCTGCAGAGGCCAATTCAGTTCAGCAGCTGCTTTTAATTAACTTAATTGAAGTGTCGCAGCTAAGAAAACTTTTCGCCCGTCTAACAGCAACAACAGAATCTCAAGGCTGCCTCTAATAAGATATCAAATTTATAGCAAGCGCAAGCTGAATTGATAGAGCATACTCTATACTGCGAGTAGTACAACAACTATGAGAGCTACTAGGCAACATATTGAAGTATAAAACTCTAGTTGGTCTCTCACGTTCCACTCTTACCAAATGGATTATAGAGTATTGGAATTAGGTATTAGGTACAGTGCAAGGCAAATGCAAATTTAAGTGTATCTATAATGCGACTAGACTCTACTTAGTCTTTCACTTTTTATACATAGCCTACTATCTTATTCAATATATATATATACATGCAATTTTATGTTTGGAAATAGAGTATTTGCATTTTGTGCACTCTAATTATTATTCGACTTTCTCTTATCGAAATGAGTTTACTATCTCTCGATGGACTCTTTCCATTGAGCATTTATAGCGTATATTTCCCTCTCAAATACTCCACATGTGTTCTTTCAATTCCATCGCTCTACGTTTCGCTTTCGATAAAATTACTTCTGCAACTACATCAGCAGTTATTCAATTGAGATTGAAACCGGAAGCACACTATCTACTCTGCCTCTCTTTATATCGCTTAACTAGCATATTTAATACTTTTCCCTCTTTTCGCTTTCAATAAGAAATGAGCTGTACATATATGTGTATATGTAGACCCAAGCCACATCCAAACCGAATGAAATTGAAAGAGTATAAATTCCAGCGGATATTCGCTTTGCAAATAAATAAATAAAATATGGAGAACATTCATCTCGCTGGCTGTCTATCTGTCTGCCAGTCTGTTCACGCAGTCTCGATGACGTACTTCTTGTATGTTATATGTGTGTATGTATATATATGAATGTATCTGTGTAGCACCAACAGAAGCTGAAACATAACATGGCACTTCAATTTATTCCATTTAATAAAATATTTACAGAAATGACTATCATTCGAAGCTGCAAAGAGAAACACATGTATACATACTTATATATATGTGTATGTGTGTGTGTGTGTGTAAAAACAAAAAAAAGAACACCCCGAACGGACAGTGTGTGTGTGTGTGTATTCCTGTTCGCTGTCAACGTGTTCAATATCAAAGTGTGTGTGTGTGTGTCGTACAAAAAATATATTCGAGTGCCAACAAATTGCATCTACATGCATGTATGTGTCTGTGTATGTATATGTGTGTGAGTGTGTAAGTGTGCTGGGGTGACAGAAACAAACTTAATTATACGATTTTTTTCCATTTCGTTACATGACCAAAAGACACATCAGCAGCAGCAACTCTATCTGTGTGTGTTTGTATGTATTGTATGTCTGTCCGTCCGTCTGTCTGTCCCTCTGTTATCTGTCTTGTATTTGCATTTGTAGTGAGGTTAAATGAGCATGGCTGAATAGATTTAACAACAAATTGCAATTCCCAGCTCAGCTTAAGCAGACACACACACACACACACACACCCACTTAGGGACCCATGGATGATGTGTGTACATGACACACACACACACATTGAGTTGAACCAAAGTTTTACATATTAATTGTTTACACACACACACACAGCCACAAACCACAATTGTTTCACACGCGAATGGGTCTGAACGAATGTTGAATACCCAACAATAGAAAACTTTTTTATATAAAAAGTTGGATAGATAACAGAGGTAAGGGATCAAAGAGAGCTGAGAGTTAAAAGTGGGCAACAGATAGTGGATAATAAAGAAAGGAGAATGAAAACAATGGAATTAGTAGAGAAATAAATATGAACATTAATATAAATATATAAATTAGGTATACATATTTATATATCCGATATCTGAGTCGTCTATTGACAAGAATGTAAAGCTCTATACATACGAAGCTAATATAAATCCTTTATAAATCATTTGGATTACTTACACTAAACTTTGTACAAGGGCTTAGCTCTTGATTAGACACAATTATGCCTTATCTCTTCTATGTAATCCCCTTGCGCCTTGCCATCTCGAGTGTATAAATACATCAATATGGGAGCTTTGTCTGCTTTCAAGTTTTGTCATTAAATACACTCAAGGCATGCAGAGCTTAGAATTCATAATGGGGCTTAAATCGTGTGCTAAGCCCGAACGGAAATCAACATTCCCCCGGAGAGCACGTGTGAGTGTCTGGTTGTGTGTGTGGGAGTGTCTGTGTGTGCGTGTATTTGGGTTAGGGTTCGTATGTCTGTATATGTAGCTATAGCTACGGCCCCCATTAAGCTGTTGCCAACTTGGTTATTAATTTGATTTTGTCTCTGTTTTGGCAGCTTGTTGAAGTTCCAAGATTTACTAACAAAACTATTGCCCTCCCTCGTCCGCGCTCCCCCGCTCTTTCTCTCTCGTTCTCCCCCTTTCTGGCATGCATTTTCAATTTAATTTAGTATAAGCTGTCTACCTGTACTTGTCTACCTGTTTCTCTTCTCGATTCATGGCGTCAGGTCTGTGCTCCGTGTCGGGTTGGGGTTGGGGTTGGGGTTGAGGCTGGGGCTTGGGGTCTTGCTGCTCAATTTCAATTTAGCATTTGGGGCGTAAAGTTGAAAAATCTCGGTGATTTATTGTATGTATAAGAAGATTTACTTTCAATCTTTTACTCCATCCACTTACCCAAAATACGAAATATAAAATACAAAACAGATTCTTGAGCTGCCATAGACACAGGCTGGCCCGCATCCTTGTCAGGTTGCTCTGTTCGTGTGTGTGCATGAGTGAGGGTGTGTGAGTGTATGTGTGTGATTCAAGGACTTATTCACTTGAATTCACTTTTAGCAAGGGGGATCTCTCTCTCTCTCTCTCTCTCTCTATCTCTGTCTTTTGCTTGATCTTTATCTCTCTCTCTCTCTTTCTATCACTGTTCATGTCTCGGCTTACCTCTCTCTCTCTCTCTCTCTCTGTCGCTATCTATCTTACCCTCTCGCATTCTCACTTTCTCTCTCTCTCTCTCTAGCTTAATTCTTCTTTTTTTATTTTCCCGTCTTTCCCGTCTGTCCATTCATCTGCTTGTCTGACTACTTACCCCATCTGGTATGCATTTGGGCGCGGCAGATGCGCTGGGCGTACAGAATTCCTGCAGCACATCCTGTAGCTTGCGTGTGGAGTCTGGAAATGAACAAGAAGAAGAGGAGAAGAAATATAAATTAGATTTATAGCTTATGTTATAGCAATTAGCAAATATTATTTACGATCTCATTAAGGTACAAATACGAAAGCAAGAAATAAAATAAGAATGTTCCAGTGGGGAATGTACGTCTCAGGGATACCCTGTAACTAAACGAGAATTATATAAACTAATATACCCCGTTTGTTCTCTGCCGTTTCCAGCTGTTTTTCTATTTTCATATTTTTCAGTTTTCTTTTTTTTTTTTTTTTTTTTGCTGCACCTGAACAGAAAAGAGGCAATTGCTTTTTTTTTTTTTTTTTTTAATCGACGCCTCAAGTGGCAAGAGGCAAGTGATTTTTTTTTTTTTTTTTTTGCAGAGAGAGACAGATATAGAGAAATGGCGATTTTTTTTTTTTTTTTTTAGGAGACAGAGCTTTGAGTATAATTAACTAATGGAAACAATTTTTTTTTTTGACAACGATCTGCCTCTGTGTCTCTGCGTGTGTGTGTGTGTGCCTCAAATTGTGGCAAAGTTTTATTAACTTAGTGAATGCATTGCACAGCTGGGCGGGCGACAATTGCAGCCGCTCCTTGAGCTCCTGTTGCAGCTATTGCAGCCGCAGCTGGAGCGAATATTTTGAGTGCTTTGAGCACTTGAATGCTTCAACTGTCGCTGTCGCTGTCGTTGACACTTCGTATTCGATGCCACTCAAAGCGCCACTCTCTGGCAAGTGGCAAGTGGCAAGTGGCAAATGCCACACCCATACGCTGCCTCAATTGCTCTGCTGCTGCTGACATTTTTAATCACACTCAGAAGCAGTTTTCACTGTCTTGTTGACAAGTGCTGCCGGCCCAGCTCCAAAGACATCCGAAAGCCGCTCAGCTCAGTTCAGCTCAAACCGAATACGTTAAAGGTAAATGAAAAGCTAGCAAAGTAAAGGTAAAGGTAAAGGCAAAGGCAAAGGCGAAGGCAAAGGCAAAGGTAAGGGTAAAGGTAAAGGTAAAGGTAAACGCAAAGGTAACTACTTTATGAAACGTCAAGCAGCTTTGCTTGCCTCACTGTTCTCCGTCTGCCTTTTGTTCCAGCTGCAACTTTGCGCCGGATTACCCAATGCAGCATGTCAACATTTAAGCTCACTACACACGCAGTTACCAGACTTCTGCACCATCATCATCATCATCATCATTATCATTATCATCAGCATGAGCATTTAAGCCAGCCAAGCTTTACCTGAAATGCCAGGCTTTCAGCTTCTCGCAATGCGATTTCAAATTGCGCAACTTGACTCGCATCATGTCAATAAATCAGACGCAAATTACATGCAACCCAAAAAGTTGACTAAAATGTTAAAGCTATTATCCATTTCCATTGCCATTTACAATGATAGCTACATATGTATGAAGTCATTAAATCATCTATGCATGCTTACACATTTGCCAATGACTTTCAACTCTCAATTTGTGGCGCAATCAATTATCTGCATATTTTAAATAAATGCATATGAAAGTACGAATAGTAGCTGACGTGGCGATACCTCGTGATACCTTCGTGACTAGCAACGATTACTGCCTTCTCTTCTCATATCTTACCCTCTTCATCTCCTATACTGCTTTATAGATCGACAGACGGAACTGCTTAAGCAGACTTGACTGTTAATACTATACTTATACTATTATACTTTTATATCCGGAAGGTCTTATGCTACCAAATATTCCTATTTTTATTCTCTTTAACTCGTTTCTTATAATCCTATACTGCTATACTCCAATACTCGCGTCGTCCTTTTATACTTTTAATTTGTATTCATAAGTTCTGGTTATCTAGTTGTCTATATGTACTCCTAAGCTATTTATTACTCCTATAATCCAATATTACATTACTTTCAAGTTCTCTTCCTCTTATGCTGAAATATCACTCTTATACTCTTATACACTTATGACTTGCTCGTATACTATATGTGCTAATTGTACTTTTCTCTTTCTCTGCTTCTGCCGTGCTCTTATACTCATTTACTCTTATACAAGCGCCTTGACTGTTGATCTTGATTTTGTTGCCAGCTTTAATATATTTTCTGTTGCCCTTTTCATTTAACGATACGCTTCCTACTCCCTCCAAGGCCTTTGCCTTCATACAAATACACCCACACACACGTACGTATATTTATATGTAGATAGCTGTTATTCATCGTGCATTATGTCATTAATGGTTTGGGTTAAGAGTTTTCACTCTGCACTTACATGATGCCAATTCCTGCAGTTGCAAAAACTCGCGCGGCGATAATTTATCCCATTTGTGTGCGATGGCAATATTCATGTTTGCCTGAAAGTATGCAAGCGAAAAATTATGACAAATTGTAAATAAGCGTACCTACACACACACACACACGCACACACATAGACACTCAATACTAGTGCGAAATGCGGGACATAATTTATTGTTTTTGTTGTTGCGCTTCGCTTGGGACGTGCCCCCTTTTGGTAGCCAATAAAATTTGAAAAGTGTTGGCATAACAAACACACACACACACACACACACACACACACACACACACACACACACACACACTCAACACACACACTTGGACAGCTAACACACTTGACAACTCGGTTGTATTTTTAGACCAATTCCCAATGCGCGTCACAAGCTATAAAACAACGCCCATTAGAGCAGGAGCCACGAGCTCTGCTCGACTCTAATGATCATTAGCTCTATGCAATAATTATGTTTGGTTGTGATAGACGCACACGTTAATCGATGACCTCTCCTTCACTCTCCCACTCACCCACTCTCTCTCTGCGTCTCTCTTTGGTCCGTCATGGATATGGCGTCATCTGATGCTCATCTGGCTTTCAGCTTGTCATTTGTCTTACGCTGTTTGATGGCATTTCGTATATGTATCAAACACACACATACACTAACACTCACACGCACACGAACATTGTCAGCTTTGTGGGCAGGTGCTCTAGTGATAGACTGATAATTGGACTCGCGCAGCAAGCAAATTTTTTTATTTATATAAAATTTAGTTGGAATTTTTTTTGGCTTTTTTTCAAATTTTATTTATTTTTGCGTCTGCGGCCTTTTGGCATTTTATACATATCACAAATATATATATATAGATGCATATATATTTATAAAGCTTTTGTCTCTGGCACATTCTATTTTAAGACGCATTCAACTATTCCAAAATATATCAAAACCGATTGAACTATATATACAGACTTATATATGTACATATATATGTATGCGTATGTATGCCTTAATATATTTTTTTTGCGACTTTGTTGTTGCTGCGGCTATAAAAAGCTACTTAACAGGCACTTAATGTGCTGCCACGCCCATATTTATAGTTGCCTTCTTGGCTAGAGAATAATGGAGAATTAGCATTATTCACAGCTCGCTTGGCGTCCCTTGTGCGCTCCACGCTTACAACTAATGAAAATGCTATTAAAAAATGGCAATAAATATATTTTTTTCATACGTGGCGTATGCGTAATGTGAAATGCCCGTTAATTGCAACATTTATGTGGAGCGCATGGGTGGGGGAAAAAGAGAGACATAGAGAAGACTTGGAAAATGAAAAAGCATTGTTAAAATGTAAAAAAATTTGCAGAGATTTCACATTGCTTTTTCGTTTATGTGCCATTAATGTAGACGAAGGGGATGAGAAAGACAAAGAGAGGGAGAGTGAAAGGCGGAGAAAAATCTGTAAGCTATTGTAGCTAACTAACTCCTGAAAGCCTGACATACGCGGCATACATATTACTCATTAATTGGGATATTACTAGAGAGTGAGAAAGAAAGAGAGAGAGAGGGACAGGTAGAAGAGAGGGCCATCGATTGCTCACATTTCTTATACCGATTTCTGACTGCCTCTTCTGCTCCCTCCTAGTGTCTCAGCCTCTTTCGAACGCCCTCTCATTGTGGCTCTCACCCCACCTCTTGCTTTATCTTATGGACCAGAAAGAAAATGCTAATAAATAAAACACTGGCAAACGTGGCGTATACGCAATAAAATGTTCGTTAATTGCAACATTAAGGTCGAAGGAGACGGACCGAGATGGAGGGATGGTGGGGAGGTGGAGATGAAAACAAGATGAAGCATTGTTAAAATCTAGAAAATTACTGAGATTTTCCATTCCATTTTCCATTCTCTGCGGTTCCCTGTATATGACATTTATTTACAGCATATATTGATGGCATCTCCTGACGAAGTTCAACGAACGCTCAAGTGCCAAGTGGACTTTCCTACGCATTGTGCTGGCCATTGGACAGAGAGAGATAGAGAGAGAGAGAGGGAGAGGGAGAGAAGGAGAGGGAGTGCKAGAGCCCATTGGCCATAAAATATTATTAGATTATGCGTGTTGTATTTCGCCATTCAGAGCATGTAATTCGCATACAATAAGCGTCAGAGACATGGAAAATGAAATGAAAATGGCTTTCAATGTATGTATATGTGTGTGTTTGTATGTATATGTGTATCTGGGTATTTGTGTGTGTGCTTGTCCTTTTTACGAGCTCTCGCTCGCTTTTGTTCGTCCTTTGATAAAATGTATAAAAAAACCAACTTGATGGCTCTTATTGTTTTTGGCCCTAAGAAAATAGCCATTAAAGCCAACACACACACACACATACACATAAACCCACACCACCCACACACACGCGCATATAAATGGCCAACATAGCAAACATTTTGTGTTTTATGCCTCAAATTCGAAATGAGAAGCATCGAAAAGTGAAGCAGCCACAGCTATTTGAAGCAAATCTGCACTTAGATTTCCTGAAGGAGCTTCAGAATTCTCAGAACTTAAATGAATTGCATTACGAAAATGATTTATATAGAAATCAATTTAAAATATGATCTTAAAAACTAAAAAATATATAAGTGAAAACTCTTCACTAAACTTTTAACACTTCTAAATCTAAATTTTAAATCGTAGAAAAATATTTAGGGAGAGGAATAAGGAGAGCTTTCTTTATACTAAAAATATTCCTCTTCCAATGCAATCAGAATTAAATTCATTAAGATACTCATTCATTCATTCAAATGCACTGTACCAATAGGCTCTCAATTCACACACACACTCATCTGCATTCAATCTCTTTGCTGAATAGCAATGCTAGACACAGCAGCTCTAAACAGACTTCCGAGTGTATCCCAGTCGAGTCTGGAGCACTTCCTAATTGTTGGTCCCTCTGGGCAGAGAGCGCCGCAGGCATTTTCTTTCTCTCTTCTGTGCAAACTTTCGCCTCAAATAAAATTTCTATAAAAATTTAATGAAAGTTGTGGCTGAGATTTCGTGCGTAGATACAGCGCCATAATATAATTTTAAATATCAAATAAAACACGAACAGATTGCAAATGTTTCTTTATTTTTATTTTGTATTTTTTTTATTTTGCATTTAACTTTGTTTCATGTCCTGCGGTCAAACGCATAAAATTTGATGAGAGCTCTGAGCCATAACAATTTGATTTTATACAAAAAAGGGATAAACTGATAAAGGATATCTGACTACAGTCAGGCATTGTCAATTCGAATGAAAATCAAATGTAAATATATAGCTGTATATATGTATTCGATATAGATGTAAAAATAATTAAATACAATTGCAAATTGAACGCTTGACTAAAAAATGCACTTAATTGGACTCGAAATATGAAATTGCCAAAACAGGAAAACATTTATTCTGCAATATTGTTAACAATGCAAATAGAAAATCGAATGAAAACTCAAATATTTCTATGGATGAATATTCGATATATGTATATATGAATTTAAAAATATACATATATATTTATATATTGCACCTTTAGTGAACGGTTTTCTATTTAATATTAAATTATTGAAATGCTTTACGTTTGGCTTTTGATTTCAGTTTGTTGAAATGCCAACATATTTGCTAAACGGCATAAATAATTTATTACGGATCAATTGCGCTTCATGCGCTGCGAACGAGCACCTCATTAAAATATTAATATGCACAGAGAAACCTGCTCGTCTACCCAGATACTCTATGAAATTTATTATAGATTTCACATAAGTTGGGTTTAGTCTAAGCATATTTAGATAGGAATATTTCATCTAAACATATGACATGGCAGAGCATACATAACTTTCACTAATAGTGTGTCAATCAAAGAGTTATAAATGGACCTTCATCAACTCGAACTCTTTAACCCATGTAATATTTCGCTCAGTGTAGACATTATTAATGCTAGAAGGACCTCATTAAATACCATTCAATCTTTTCCAATCAAAAAGTCCAGTTGAATCCAGCACGTTCTCTCTCAATGTTGGGCATACAGCCGAAAACCATCCCGAATCCAATTTTCGCACAGTGTACATCTACATACATATACATACATGAGTTATTCGCCAACTTTGCAAATTGTTTGCGTTGCATGCGAGAGCATATATTTACAATTATGAAATTGTCATGATTGTTTATCAGTTGTGCGCCGCACAATAGATCCCTCCTCTACATGTAGATATTTAGATGTTATAGATATACATCTTAGCAATATTGTTGTTACTCTCCATAAATATGTATATATGCATATATATATTAAAGAAAACAGTGAATGAACAGAAGCGTCACATACATTTCATTTTCTTTTAGTTGAGTGCACAGGACGCCAAAGTGTATTTGGGTCTCGGTCCTGTGGGCCCCGGGGCAACCAGCAACATCTTCCAGCTGGCTGCATGGTTAAGCAAATGACAATATATCATGGATTTATGCCACGTATTTTTCACACACCCTCACACATACACAAACACACACACACAGCCGTCCACCCAAGTTTTGGCTTGTTCATGGCTTTTTTTTGTTGCTGCACTTTGGGGGCTTTGCATGTGGTAACCCGCTGTTAAACGACTTTAAGTCGACCATAAACTGTCTGTTAAGCTTCCTCTGCCTCGCTGGCTTTATCTGTATCTGTATCTACGTATATGTATCTATGTATCTCTATTCTATCTGTATCTGTATCTGTATCTGCGTATCTGTATCTGCGTATCTGTATCTATGTATCTGTATCTATGTATCTGTATCTATGTATCTGTATCTGTATCTGTA